TGGTTCTTTTCCTTGGTATCCGGCCAATAAACGACCACCCCCACGAAAACTTGAGCCCTTGCAGAACACGAACCCATCTCAGCCACCATCAAGGTGACAGACGGCAAACGGAGCGGAAACAACGCCGGTTAACGGCGGCAATGGCTTGCCCCTCATCATTACTGACGTCCCACCGTCGATCTTCTTCAGCCACAACAAAAGCAGCCACGACTGGTGGCAGTGGATGCAAGAGCGTCTTCAACCGGTGGCAGTGGTGGTCGTGGCTGAGGCGCTGTGAGCATAGGACAGAGAAAGGTGGCGACTAACGACGGCTAGCTGTTGTGAGACGAGCTCCAAAGCGAGTGGTGAACGGGACGGCACCGGCAACAGCCGAGTGTAGCTGTGATCGGTGACAGAAAAGAGAGGAAGAAGAAGGGAACGACGGAGAGGTGGCAGCAACTCGGTGAAACAGCCATATGGCGGCAGTGGCAGCGACGAGGCTCGACTAGCACCTTCGATCGGTCCTCCCCGATACAACTACGGTCTTGGTGGTTTCTTCCGGCGAGCCCGACGTCCGACGATGCTACAGATTGCGGCGGCTGGAGAAGGAGGATGGAGAGGGGGTGGCGACTGACACTAGATTTAGGGTTAGGGTTGCAAGGTGACGGGGGAATAGCACAGTTATATACCGGGTCTCAACTTAATCCCATAACAACATGAATAGTCCCTCTCTCCCCCATTTCTTTCAAAATAAATCCTTTATTTACCATTTAACCCCTCCTTCTGAAAATCCTTACAATTCAAGTCCAAAATGTTACCAAATCAGCCCTTCCTCTACAAAATCTTCTCATCTTAGGTCCAAAACTTACTCCTTAGTCCCTTCTTCCATAAATCCTTACATATTAAGTCCAAATAATACCAAACACCCCTTGACTTATGAAAATCTTTACAAATTAAGTCCCAAAATTACACTTTAACCCCTGGAGATTCAAATCTTGTCATTTGGCTTCCCGAAACCAACTACCAGCTAATTATTATTTGGTTTGGAGTTACTTCGCAGGGTTCCGAGTTTATTATTTAATTATCTTATTTTAAACGGGATGTTACAGTTTTAACAAATATGTATTATATTTTTTCATTACAATAATATTATAAATTATATTATCATAAAATTATAACAAAATAAAATGTTATACATAATAAATTTGAATTAATTATTAACTTATTATACATAATTATTAAATAAACAAGATTATATTTATAACAAATATATATTTTATATTTTTTGATATGTTTATATCGAGTAAGAAATTGTTAGAATTAATTATCTTCATCGTTGTTTCGATCTCTATCGGTGATATTTCTTTCACAACTTCAATTTGTACGTCAAGATCACATTCATCTTCGATTACAATATTATGTAAAATAATGTTAGTCATTATGTCATGTAGTAAAGTATGTTTTATTAGAATACGTATCGTTTTTGTAAGATATATTTAAATTATAAGTTTTTATAAAATATGTTACCGAGTTTCAAATCTTTAGTATATATTTAATTTTTTGTATGAATTCGATAAACAAATATTAAACTCAATATTTATGATTAATTAATATAATTTAGTATACAACAGGATATTACAAATATTAAATATTATATTTAAATTATAATTAGTAGATAAAAATAAACTGGAAATGTATAAAATAAAAAAGAAAATGGACTAAAATCGACAATTGAAACTTCAACTCCATTTTTGGAAATGAAATATGGTAGGGTTGAAAAGAATGTGGGAAGAAATGAAGAAAAAAGTGAAGTTTAGGGCATCTCCAATGGGAGCTTTTTTTTATAACTTATTACTATTGATTTTTTTTATAGATGATCACTTATTTCCATTGGAGCACGCCACTTTTTTGCTTATTTTTATTGACCACTCAATATATATTGAGTGATCAATATAGTTTAATCTTTTGTATATTTTACCCCCTCATCTTCTAATTATATTTTAATTTACCCCTTTATTATATTTTAGTTTTCAATTTATTTGTTTATATAGTAGTTAATTTGATTTGTCACTTTATTTAATTTATCTATCAAATATTTTGTGACATCTTACGAACTTTTAGAGGTATTATAAAAATGCGTTTAATACAATTTGTGTTTAAAAATGACTAACTAAATGGAGGGGGTTATATAGAACATTTTAAATAGATAAGGATAGATTAGTTAAATTTAAAGAAAATGCTAGTGAAAAAGATTAACCATTGGAGAGACCATTTATTTAGAGGTTAAAGTTAATGGAATGATGATGTGACAATAATTTTAAAATTGAAGATGCTCTAAGTAGCTTTTTAAAAAGCATATCATATAAACTAGATAACACTGTATAACAAGCCCTAACTTGACCTTTGGATTCTAAGGGGTTGTTTGTTTAGCCTCTTAATGGTCTTATAAAGAGGCAGGCTCTGAATCGTTCAGATTCATAGCGTTTGGTTGAAGCCTTTTTAACCACTTATTCGGTAAGAGGTAAAAAAAAGCCCTTAATCGGTTAGACTTGATGAGGGATCTGGATGAAAACATTCCCATTCATACCTTTGCCCTAAAAGAAAAAACGCCACTTCTTTTTTTTCTTTCCCCCTCCTTCTCCAACGATCTGCTGTGTTGATTCTTCCCTTCATCGATCTCCAACATTGCCTCTACACCTCCGGATTCGCCAACTCCAGCCTCCGGCTTCGTCTCCTCCGACTTCCTCGCCTCCTCCTTCACGCTGGTAAGTGATACTCGAATTCTTTATGCTCGATTTTGGTGTTGGGTTTTATCTATGTTCTTGTTGTTCTCTCCATCAAGCTTCAACCACCGATTTCTCAGTTTTATGTATGTTTTTTGTTGCGTTTTTGTAGTGATGTTGGATTGCGTTTTTTTTGTTTGAATATTGGGGTTGTTTGTGTTTGATCTTTATTCTTGCTGATTTTGCTGCTCTATATGCTTTGAACTGAGGTATTATGTTGCTGAAATGTCCAAAAAATTGATGAAAACAAATTAGGGATAATAAGAATAGATGTTGTTGGAATCTTATATCTTCTTGCTGTGATTTTTCTTCTATATGTTGTTGAAATATGTTGTTTTTTTGTTTAATTTTTCTATTATGTTGCTGGTCTACTTGTGGTAGATAACTAGTTTTGTTGCTGAAATATGTCATTGCTGGATTTTGAATATTAGACATGGCAATGGCACAAAAGAGGCCTAGAATTAATTGGAAACAAATAGAAGGTGTGGAAAAAACATTCCTTGAAGCTTGTATTCATGAAATTACAACTTACGGACGTGAAGGGAGTAGTTTGAAAGCACGCTCATGGAAGAATGTAGCTGAAAGATTGAAAACAGAATACAATTTTGTAGTTGATCAAAAGCAGATGAAAAACAGATACGACTACCTAAAAGCAAAGTTTGGTGCTTGGTTGAAATTAAAAAACAAAACAGGCAACGTTTATAACCCTATAACCAACACGTTTAACATGGAAGATGACGAATGGTAACTAGAGATCAAGGTATTGTGATTTTTGATAAAAAGTAATATATCATAATATTTTATAATATTTTCATGCAGTTGAACAAAATGGTAGAAACATTGAGAACTTCTCCACTAGTGTACCCTGATCTTTGTGTTCAGTTGTTCGATGGGTCGGATGCGACTGACATTCATGGATGGGGGCCATCTTCTGCACTTTCTCACCCTTCTCATGACTCACCCGACATTAATTTAAGTGACTTTGGTGGAGGGCATAGCACATGATTCACGAGTTCTAAAAGAAGTTGTATTTAACCCAACTTCCGATTTTCCAATTCCTCCACCATGTTTGTAATCTTTTTTTTAACTTTGATTATTAAATACTTTATCTATTTTTCATATACAATTGAATAATTCACGTTACAGACAAATATTACCTTGTGATGCCGCATACACCAACACTCGTGGATTTATGGCTCCCTACCGCAATACGAGGTATTGGTTAGCCGATTTCCGAAGACATCGTGCATTAACTAAGGAGGAAAAGTTCAACCATGCTCAAACACAACTCAGAAATGTTATTGAGCGCGCATATGGAGTTTTGGAGGCCAGATTGCCAATCCTAAAGCAAATGGTTCCTTATCCTTTTCCAATGCAGAGAGACATAGTGCTTGCTTGTTTTGCAGTCTATAATTTTATAAGGAAGTGTAATATTCGTGATCAATTATTTATGGACTTTGAAGAAGACACTATGTTTACTGTTGAAGTAGAAGGTGGAGGAAGTGATGACCAAAACGTACACGACATTTAGTGGGGTAACCAAGACACTGAATATATGGCTAATTTGCGTAACCAGATTGCGAATCAATTACATTAAAGTTGTATGCTTAGGATTATGTTTAATTTGGATGTTGTATGATGTTTAATTTGGGTGTTGTATGAATTTTAATTTGGATTTTGTTCTATTTTTAATTTGGATTTTATATGACGTTTTGTATTTTATTTATAATTACTTACAAATTCAGTATCATTCAGCACAGTCATTTAGATGTCCAACCAAACAGTAACAAATAGTTCAGAGGGTTAAAATGGTCATTTTTACCATTCAGAGGTTTAACCATACATCAATTAATCATTCAGATACAAACATTCATATGTTTAACCATACATCAATTAATCATTCAGATACAGATTTATACAAAGCCTCTATATCATCCGGGCCTCTGCATCATCCAGATATGAATAATACAGATGCTAACAACAGCCCTAAATGAAATTAAAAAAATTAAAAGAATATATATAAATAAAAAATCTTCTCCCGTAAGTAGTAAAGCAAATAGTGATTGCCTAAAAAGGAAAAAAGAAAGATGCTCTAAGGATTTTCTATCGCCCACCATACAATTTTGAATTTTCTATTCTATTGTGTCTCGCGAGACTATGCGTCTGTATATTGATTAGTTTATTACGTGTATGAGTGGATTCCAAAGTTAAACGAAGAGCAATTCCCAATTTCAAGATATGAGGAGAGCAGAGGTAGCAATCATCGCAACACCCTACATGGGCAACCTTGTTCCTGCCGTTGAGTTTGCAACCCGCCTCATCAACCACCATCCCGGTCGTATCGCCGTCGCAATACTCACCATCTCCATGCCTCAAATGCCACTCATCGAAGACTACGTCCAATCACGCACCTCCATCGAACATATCCGATTCATCCAAATCCCTCCGGTTGACCCACCGCCGCCGGATCAATACGACTCCAGGATCGAGTTTACTTCACTCTACATAGGAAACCACAAATCCATAGTCAAACAAACACTCAAAACCCTCTCAGCCTCGGTTCCACTCGCCGGATTGTTCGTGGATATGTTCTGCACTTCTATGATTGACGTCGCCAACGATCTAGACATTCCATGTTACCTTTTCTTCGCATCTCCGGCAGCTTATCTGGGTTTTGTACTCCACCTCACAACCTTGCCGGCAACCGAGTCAGTTGACTCGGCAAACGAGTTAATAGTACCAAGTTACGCCAAACCCATTCCTTCATACGCCCTTCCAACGTTCTGTATCAAGAAAGACGAATTTGGTTACTCGACGTTTGTAAGTCACGCGCTTAGATACAAAGAGACCAAGGGTATCATTGTAAATACGTTCCAAGAGCTCGAACCCTATTCCATTGACTCTCTGTCTTCCAGTTACATGGATTTGCCACCAATTTACCCGGTTGGACCGATAATTGATCATGTTGGACCGGCTAAGTGGCACTCAAACCGTTCTAGGCATGAAAAAACCATCGAATGGCTCGATCATCAGCCTGAATTATCAGTTGTTTTCCTCTGTTTTGGTAGCATGGGGGGATTAAACCGGGCCCAGGTGAGAGAAATAGCTACCGGTCTGGAGCGAGCTGGGTACCGGTTCTTGTGGGCATTACGTGAACCGGCGAAGGAGAATTTAAAGCTTCCAAACGATTATGAACATCTTGATGAGTCTTTGTTTCCAGATGGGTTCATTGATCGAACAGCTGAGATAGGATTGATCTGTGGGTGGGTCCCGCAGGTGAGTGTGCTGGCACACAAAGCAATTGGTGGGTTTGTATCCCATTGTGGCTGGAACTCAGTCTTGGAGAGCATATCGTACAGTGTACCGATTGCCACGTGGCCTTTATACGCAGAGCAACAGTTGAATGCTTTTGAAATGGTACGAGAGCTCGGATTGAGTGTGGAGATAAGGTTGGATAGTAGAGATAAGGGTGGTGATCTGGTGTTGAAGGAGGAAGTTGAGCGGGGTGTGAGGGAGTTGATGGACGGTGGTGATGGTAAGTTGAGGGAAAAGGTCAAGGAAATGAGTGAGATGAGCAAGAAAGCTTTGATGGAAAATGGATCATCTTTTAGAGCTGCGGAGGATTTGATTAATATTCTTCTATCGAACGTATAAATACCCTATTTGACATAACCTACTTTATATGTTTGTACGGATTTATCAATCCACTCTTTCATGTTGTTGTATTTACATGCTTCATATAATATAAGACTCATAATCTTGCAAACTAGAAGGTTCAAGATGCTAGTCCTACAAATCTTAAAAGAATGCTAGATCATTTAATTGTAGGTTATGAATTATTATACGTGAAGTCAATGAATATGGTAGCATATACATTCTATGTTGGCATGATTGGGCTAGTAGCGATCATAACAAATGGTATCAGAGCTACGGTTGTAGTCCGGAAGATGTGGTCGGCGCAGGTGGTGCAATCTCCAGTAATTTCCGGTCCAACGAAGTTGATAATGAAACCTTGTATCGAAAGTCTTCCCGATGGCCCAGGCCAGGTGAGTGTGTCCCGAGAGTATCGGCCGTATGAAAATCCCTTCTATCACCAATTGGTTTTAAAAAATGAAACCTCATTAACAAGTCGTACTATATGTCAACCCAAGATGCATCTTCCTCTCCAGGACTTCGAAAAGGTATTTTTGGAACACCAGTAGACATTAAATAAAAGAAAAAAGAACTCAGTACCATATTTTACTTTGCAAAACATCAAGCATTTAAGTGCATGTTAGTTCATACATATCTATCTAGCGTCACAAGCCTAATTTGCTTACCACACTCTACAACCATGTTTCTTTTAGAGTCTAGGAAAACACAAAATATTCATGATTCTCTAGCTTCTAGTGCAACAAATTCATAATTGTAGAACCAAATTAGAATCCTTACCTTATTATTCTTTGTACTTTGTATCAGCGGCGGATTTAGCATGTAGCACAGGTTACTCCTCAAATTTTCCCGTCCAATGTAAATTTAGTGAAAATTCGTCACAAATCCATTGGAAATCCATCATAAATTCATCATGAATCTGTTGGTAATCCATCACAAAGTATGATAATTGTGAATTTAGTGTAAATTCGTCGGTTGAGTGACAATTTTGTGACAGAAGAGCACTAGATGAGCAACCCCTTAAAAATATGTGCAATCCCTAATTTTTCTTTCTGGGTCCGTCACTGTTTTTTATATCAGAACAAAGCCTCCATCGAAGAGCACTAGTGTTTGTCTGAGGAGGTGATATAAAGATGGGGATGGAAACATAAAAGGAAGCAGTATGGGAAAACCATCGCGGGAGACAAAGAAACTTTGTCAATGGTTCTACCTTCCGGCTTCTTCTCCCCTCTCTGGATCTGCAAGTATAGGATGTTGACATAGTCGGTATATGACAACACTTCCAGCAACAAGTTGTTGATCATCATGTTTATGTATCTGACCATATGTTCACTTTTCTTTACTACTTCTACCCTTCCCAGTATCCTTAGGAACATACTATTTCAATAACAAAAAAACATTAATACCCATTAAATGCTCTTAAATTTTTAATCTTTATTTTTAACATTGTATTGTATGTTACTTATCATATTTTTGTTCAATAAAAGCATATATATACTTTAGCTATTAGATACTTTTGAATAAAGAAATCTCAATTTACATATCCACATCTTACAAATAAGACTTACACATCCATAAGAGGAGCCATTTGTTAGGTTTTCGACTATCTTTTAAAATCCAATCTTCGTTTATGTTAAATGCGATTTTAAAGACCAAAAAATTACCTTAGAGTAGATGATATAGCATTGTACTTTGTTTTTTTTAAAATTACCAACATTTAGCATCATATTTTAGTAAAAAGGTTAAACACCCTCCGCCCCATGTGAAGCATGGGATCATCACCTAGTTATAAAGTAAATGATTCACTCAAATAAAAGAAAAAAAACACATCCCTTTTTTTACTTCTATTTAACAAAGGTTTGATTTCCAAAAGAAATTTCATCTTTTAGTATAACTTTTTATTCATCAACATATGTGCATATGAAAGGGACGTTAATTTATTGAAAAACGGTTTTTAAACCATACACTTTTGTATTGAAAATTGTGTACAGATCAATGTTCCCTCCATCCCAAATTAATTGTCCCCTTTTGACTTTTAATGTCTTTTTTCTTCAACTTTGACCTTAAATATTTTTATTTGTGTTATATATTACTTGATGAAACTTATAATAATGAAAAGAAATTTAAAATACAATCCATTCATATATTTTTCATCAAGTATTATCTATCAAAAAAAATATTTAAGGTCAAAGTTGTAGAGTAAAGACTTCAAAAGTCAAATGTGGACAATTTATTTGGGACGGAGATAGTATAATATATATTGATGCCATCCTTTTTTTTAATAATAACTAGTTGTGAAACCCATGTATTACATGGGTTAATTTAAAAAAAAGTTAAATATAAAGGTCAAATTATTTGAGAATTTTGTATTTATAAAAAAATAAGAAAAATAATGAATTATTACTATAATGCAAATGTTTGTTATCTTTTAAATTTAAACAAATAATTTAAATAAAGAAAATAAACTAATGAGCTTTAATTTTAGGAATTTTGAAATTAAAAGGTAAGTTTATTAATAAAATTGATATCAATTTATTACAATTATTACATTAAAATATTATGTGGAATTTGATAAAATAGAAAAACTCATAAAATGACATGTGGAAAAAAAAATTAATTCAAAATAACCATAAAATGACATTTGGCAAATTGAATGAGAGTGTGACACGTGGCAAAAAAAACTTCATTTATTAGAGAGGATACAACAAAAAAGTAATACTATATTTTCCATCGTAAGGGACGTTTCACAATCAAACATCCCAATTAAACAAAAACAAATCCAGAATTCATCATATAGATTTTATTTTTCTATTCCGAAACTATACATAAAAAAGAAAAACTTTAAATTCTTAGAGATATCAATTCACAATTGCAATGATGTGGAACGATTATTAGATGAAAGTTAAAATTAAAACATAAAGCAATGTTTAGTTAGGGTTTGAAAACTTAAAAAGAAAACAAAAATTGAGTCGTGGATTATCACGAAGCGCACATAAAGTTTATTATTAAGGTATATCAATATTAAACGATGTTCTGATACCACTTGTAGAAATTAAAGGCATAACTCAAGATCAATTTATACATAAACATGAGTAACCGTGAACCAATTAAGGAATACTTGGAGATATATATCATTGATTTTGAAGATGAGCGCCTTATGGTTCCTTATGTTCCCGTAATGGTGCCTTGATAATTTTCTGATGGAGAGATGGATTACACACAATCATGGTGTTTTATATGGAGAAAGAGCATAACTGAAAAACTCTTCAATTTTCCTCCAATATTTAACATTTAAATCATTTGCACCTTATCCATAAGAGATTGGAACCACACAATTATAACCCCTTAAGTTAATGTACAAAATATAATTGTATCTAACATGTAACTAACTTTACAAAATAGTATAAAGGCATATTAATTGGTACTACATATTTCAAGTTCATGATTTTTGTAACACTCGTTTCCCGAAGAAGGTTGGCCAAGACTAAAGGAATCAAAATAAGGTTTTACAGCAAACCCTTAGCCACGGCGTGGGGCATGGATGCCACGACGTGGCATGAGATTTAATGAACGCGTATTTAGAGGGCCGATGCGACATCTCCAATTTCACGGCCAGAAAAGACCGATTTGTTTATGCTTTATTTAAAAATCAGGGTATCCCTTTGAAGAATAATATTGCGTAATTTTTTTCCAAAAAATATGATAAAGATATTATCAAATCATTTCCAAAGAAATGTATTTTAATTATATTAAAAACATTGAGATGTCATCGTCAATACAATACATAAGCATAAACAGAAATAGTACATTCCTTACAAACATTTATGATTCTACTGGCTTATAATCCATAAATTTCTCATCTGTTAATCACATATGTGCTCTTGTGCCACTACCTGTAATACAAGAAACTGAGTGGGTTAGGCTTGGGAGCATGGTGATCACATAGGATTTTCAACCCACAACAATTAAATTCTTTATTTTCATCAAATCATTCAACCTGATTAGCCGTTCCCATTATCCTCACTTTCTGTCCCTAAAGCATCTAATTTAAGGGTCCTATCCTAAGGATTATCCTCGGGATAGACAACAATGCTTAGGGGATTCCTCAACAATATATATTAGTAAGGCAACCATGAGGGGGATGGAGTATACCTGGTGAACACTTAGTTCAAAAACATCTACATGTTGCGAGCCTGCTAGCATTCCACTAAACTGTCTAGAATAGTCTGTGGTCGTCAAGGCCTCTCATCATCTATTTCATCTTTCATTTTTTATCGCCTATATCATCTTTTATTTACCCATATTTACCCAACATATTTATAGGTAAAAAAATACATATATACAGTTTAAATCAAGTAAAACATGTATAAATCGTTCATCTAGCATAGATACCAAGAACAAAAATAATAGGCACATATAGCATGTAATTTATATTAAATACTTCATATCTATGTGTAAGATAAAAGTAACTATGCACTCACTTGTTAAAGTGATGATTCAAAATTCGGATAACGCTTCGCTTCTAGCAGTTGTATTTTCCTTTGACATAACCTAGTATTATTATCACTAAGTCTTAGTCTAATATTTATTACAAATATTTATTAGTCTAGATTCATCATTAATTCAAAGTCTACTTCAAGATCTATCAAGTAAGGATCAGCCAGGCAGGACAGTTGGGAGGCAGGACCATTTCATCGTATAGCTTTTCTGAAATCCAACAACCAAGCCAATGTGACCATTCTAGACACCTTTACCGTAAGTAGATCAATCGGTATAATGACTTGGAAATACTGATAAATCTTGTTTATAAGTTCATAATAACAATAATGAACGTAAACATAAGTTATACTTAAAGTACGGTAAGCATAACTCAACTTACAAGTGGTTTAGCGAGAAACCGGACTCTACGCGGGCAGAACTTCTAAGTCGAAAACTCTTCTTCTCGGAGCTTTTTGATACTCCAGAGCTTCGCTACTAACACGTAGGATGTGCTAAAGAAGAGG